TATGAGTTCGAAACATATATTGAATAGGGATAAAGTGTACGTGACTTTCTCTAACAAGTGATGAATATACAAATTTTATTATGGTCACGTAATCCATCCACATACACCGCAGAAGCTTTTCATCCTCGTCTTTATTACTAAAAAGTGGCTTAAAGCAATCTTAAAGCACTCTTAAACGTTTCTGGATGGTTTTAGGTGATCTCGCAAATTAAAGTCGCTAATCAAATTATTATTTAATATAATTTTAGTGTATACTTCTAATTTTTAACTTAATAAATTTTAAATTTACATACATGGTTATAGACGTTCATGTCTTATTTGAAACGAATGATATGATTGTTTTGATTTCAAATGAAAGACTTTTTTAACTGTAACATCATATTTATAATATTTTGTCTTATAAACTCATATACTGTCTAAAATCGTGTGAACCTCAATTAGGCAGTATAAATGGTAAAAACGGTGAGTTAACATTTGTCTTTCTTCTAGTTTTTCTCCAACCTTTTGAGCATTCACAAAGCCTGTTGGATATGGGCCTTGCCCCCTCCAAAATTAGAGGGCCCTTAAACAAAATGAGCAATTAAATAAAGCCTTTCACCCAAAAGCAGGCCCAGCACCTTCGCAGGGGTAAAACCGTCATTCGCCAAGGAGACACAAAGAGCTCTAGGTTTCTGTGTCACTATAAATACATTAAACCACTGTTTGGAACAGGGATCGGTCCAGAGGTTATTATCCACCAGACTGAGAATCGTGCCGCGCCCGAACTCGCCCTAGCCCGAGATTCCCGCCGCGACTCTCTTTCTCGTGATTTTGCACTTCTGTTTCGTATTAGGTTCTCAGCTCGGCAGATAGTCTATAACTGCCGCAGCGAGACTTCTCTCTTTGTAACTTCGGATTTTTCGCAAAAGCTAATAAAGAAAATTGTTTCGTATCGTCCCAAAAATCTCGTATCATTATTGTAGCTGCTCCCCCCTTGCACAAACAAAGCCCACTCTCTAAGAAGCTTCTAGTCCAGTTGGATAAATCCCGAGCCCAAAACTGATGAGATATAGTGGAGCCGGATTCAAATTAAACCCGGACAAACTTGAACTAATACTTTTAGTTTGTGACGCCTCAAACATGATTTGATTATCGTAAGATAATATATAAGAAAAAAATCCCCATATAGAATAAATTAACGTTGACTCAATTAATTCTCTACAAGATATTTATTCCAAATATATTAGCCAACATAGTAGAAAGACTACGACACAAGCTTTAGGGTTTTATATATATATATATATATATGCTTTAAAAAGTATCCACAAAAGCTAAATGTAGAGAGTATAAATGAGGTCATTATTATTCACACACAGACACAGATAAAGAACATACGTATGCAGAGATGTCGTAACATAGATAGATAGAGAGAGAGCAAGAAGGCGCATGGCGAGGCAACGTGAGAGTGTGCATGAACTGTTCCCACCACGTGTGAAACGTGAGCTGCGACTAGCTTCCATGAGGTTGGCTCACGTGCGGGCCATTACGTGCCACGTTGTACAAAGTTGTGGTCATAACCATGGCCAGGTCACTTTGCACTCTCTTAGCTTTTCACCAAGGCCAAAGAAACCAAAAGATGTCGTAAACAGTGAGAAAACAAAAGGAATATTTGTTTTTCTCTTTGGTATTTCACTTGTCGTTTTATGTGTCTAAGCATGTTGATAATCAAATCAATGTGGTGCCTAGATTACGTGTCTTTTTAATTCTTGTGTTGACTACATATATGCACATTAATTGACTCATATCAAGAATCAAGTCAGTGTAATTGGCAAGATATATAAATTATTGAGTCAATGTTGGTTCAACTTTAATTAATGACACATGCAATATGGTTTTGACCTCTTTACATTTATTTTATAAAGAAAATACAATATTAATTTTTCTAATTCTGATCATATATTCTTAAACCATGAAGATTTACATGTTTTCATTTCATAGCTTTCCTAACTTGTCCAATCTATAATCTATACAATACCTCATAATTTTGATCAACTCATACTATTTTCCATGTATATATATAACGATTCCTAATAATAATTTAGATAGGACATTACTGATAACTTCATGATCACGTGACTCAGTATTAACCTTACAAAAAAGTGTGTGCTGTTGATTTATTCTTCTTGTAGAATCTAGGTATACGGATACCTGAAATTGCTATAAATTGAGAGGCAGTTCATGAGCTCTATAACTACAAGTCTACAAGCAACACTAAAAAAGAATCCACTAGCAAATCAGAAACACACAAAGCCACCTTAACAATGGCAGTCTTGACAGTGAGCCACAACAACAACGGAGAAGGCAGGCTACACGAGTCAACTAAGACTCAGCAGATTCCTTACTTACAAAATGGTGGCCAAGAGAACGGAGGAGACGATGACGACGACGACTGTGACGTTGCTCCCGCGGCTTGATCATATGCATATAATCGTATGCTCCTACTATAAACTTAATTAACAGTCAATTAATTAAGTAGTAATATTGTGTTTCTTGTCATTGAACCACACACACACACACACACAGATATATGTAGCTGAAGTACTAGATTATGCCTGTACTTTATCCATGTCGCAAGCAGGCTTTTATTATTTACTAGATAAACAACATTTTTGACTATGGAGTGTTGAGAGACTTAGCTATTATATATGTAACAATATAATGTATCGTGTGTCTATTATTAATGAAAATAATATTACATTATGTACACAAGAGATTTCTGGTTATAGTATATTAACGATATATATATTTGTGTGTGTGTTTATCTAATTCTCACTTTCATTTATAATTTTCTTTAATTTGGCTATTTTTTCGGTTAATTAGCTGGAAAAAATTAAAATTTCTCCAGAACCATTGTTTGTTCTTATGATCTTATCTTCCTTTGCTCAGCTTCTAGTGGCCTTGACCTCTTAGGACCACTCCTACTACAAATTCTTATCAAATTTACATATATGAATATATGATATATAATATATATGACTAGCTAAAATGTGAAGTATATATATTAAGAAATGAATTGTTAAATATACTCGGACTTGTATACTTTTGAGAAATAAGTACAATTGGTATTAACGTTAAAAGTGCAGAACATTGTTAATTTCTTGAACAGCTATTAGCCAACAATGACCGATGAATGATGATCATAGATCGAAGAGGTGAGTTTTCCGCACAGGACTTGGCTCATTGATCAATCGATTTGTTGGATAAGCACTTGATCAACTTGCTAGTCGAGCACCAGATGATCAGAAGAGCATTGATCAGCAACAGCACCAGCTGCACCATTATGTTTATTCCAATTTGTAAGTACACATATGCATTAGAAACAACTTTTAGCTTTCTAGTCAGTTATACTAATGGACAATTATTGCTCCCAACTGTAAATAGTAGTTTTCAAAAAGAAAATTTGATTATTATATTTTTGGAAAAAAAAAAGAAAGAGAAAACTAGAAAATAAGATTAAATAGTGCTTTATATTTTCTTTATGAACCTATTAGCTACTATGGATAGGCTAATACTGTGTAATACACACACAATCGTCAAGTTCAAATAAAACGAGAGAGTCTTATTCATTAGAGTCTAGTCCTTATTAACCGTGCCCATCAAACCACAAAATATGGAAACCATGATAACCTTTTTATCGTCGACAAGCATTGTGTGCTTTTAAAGTTTTTTTTCTTGTCTAAATCATTTAGGATGTATTCAGTCAAGCATTGGAAGTGATAAGTGTTAACATTGAACAAATCTTAAGTTATTCAATCATAAATTTATAAAAAAAAATTCTAAAATCGAATGTTTTAAACTAGCTAGTTATATGAATATCACTTAATATATAAAGTGAAAAAGAGAGGAAAAGTACATAAGTGGAATGTTTATAACTAATTAAAAACCTAGTGTACTAAATACTTAACTAATTAAAAAAAACAGATAAAACAATAACATATAGCCCTATAAGTTAGGTATTAATTATACCAATTTAACAAATAGGTGGCCTGACGTGAGAAGAATTAACGTATGATGTGTGGGAGACACTTGTATAAGATTATTTTGTTTTTACATACGTGTCGGTAACCATGATATTCCCTCTGCTCTATAATACTAGATGTTTAAAGATTTTTGTTTTTTTCATTTAATAAGATGTTTTATACATTTCAATACAGATTTTAGTGTTATTTGATATTAAAGAAGAATTATAAGAAAATCGAGAAAAGATAAAGAGTCTTATGAGAAAAAGGTGAAGATTGAAGACAAATCAGGTATTTCAGTTTATAGAGTCGACGATAATAAGCAATTAAAAGACACAGATTCATTTCATCAAAAAGTTTCAGTTTATTTAGTTGGAGGATACAACATCAAACAAGCATATATAGAGATTAAAAAATTAATCAGCAAACAAGAGTAAAAAAACGATAAGATAGTGAGCCAACTCAATCCCTACATAGTTAAAATTGTTGCTACCGTGATAGACTTTACGCTGAAGGTATATGGTATTCTCCAAACGTAGCTCGCAAAGCCAATCTAAACTAGAAAGATATCAGTTTTTTTTTCCAATGCTTTATAAGTAGAATATGTGTAGCCATGAAACTTCAGTTCTTGTATAATATAATGGAGCGTTGTTCAACGTTTCCATTGGCAATCTTAACATACTTATATATATGGACTTTTGTATGTGCCTTCCAAACCTTATTATCATGTATTCCAATTAGTGTGTTTTATATATTGGGGTTAGTATACAAATTGGGCAGGGCATCGCAATTTTGGTTTACAATATTCTCATGCGTTTCGTAGAATTAGAAATAATAATTGAAGTACTTGTATATTAATTATTATATATATATATATATATATATATATATATTATTTGAGAATAATTTATAAAATTTTATGTATTAACTGTTAACCAGCAAGATTTTTTTTTTTTGATTTTTTTTTAGTATATATAATATTGATATAGTTTCATAAAAAACTTTATTACATTTTTTCCAAAATCATCTCTTACACTGTTCTTATTATTACTGAATTGCATCTTAAGTATTATTGAATTGCATCTTAATTATTATTGAATTTCATAACAAGGTAAAAAGAGAAAACATATTACATAACAGAAGATGGAAATGCAATGAGAGGGAACTTGCGGCAAATATCAAGACCAACAGATTCAGCTATATCAGAATCAACCCCATTTGGACCATCCTCTACCCTCCAGTCAAATCGGCCTACAAGGTTGGCTATTGTCACCTCTGCCAAACCCAAAGCAAGTCCTATTCCTGGACATATCCTTCTCCCTGATCCGAATGGAATGTAGTTTACATCTTTGCCATGGTAATCCAAAGTTGTATTTAAGTGTCTCTCTGGTTTAAACTCTTCTGCATCTGGTCCCCATACAGCCGGGTCTCTTTGGATTGCCCATGCATTGATTATCACCTGAAAGCCAAACATGTTTTTTTTTGTTCAGTTTATAACCATATAGAGTATATATAACGTCTATCTGAATTTATGTGTGGACAAATTGATTGCCCATACTACTTTCTTTTGCAAATGATAAATATGATAAAAACTATATAAGTAATTATGGTGTTTTTATTTTACGTATAGGAGTTTGATTTGATATAAGTGATTATATATACCTCTGTCCCTGCGGCTATGTCGTATCCCTTAACTTTGACATCTTCACTTAAGAGTCTAGGAATTATCATTGGAAGAGAAGGATGCACCCTGAGCACCTCTTTAACCACAGCTTTTAGGTATTTCATATTCGCAACTTCTTTTTCTTTTATGTATGAAGTATTTGGCGTCATGGTCGACCGAACCTCGTCTTGGAGTTTCTTCAAACACTCTGGATGTCTGAATAGCTCCGTCATTGTCCATTCTAATAGAGTTGAAGTGGTTGATGTCCCTCCTAAAAACATATCCTGATATGACATGTAATGAAAGTTACTAATGGTAAATTACTAAAAACTCAAAATATGTAACTATATGTGACGATATAGTACTTGTCCGTGAATTGACTTATAATGACTTACCAAGATCACAAACTTTATGTCATTTCTTCCAGCCTGTAATCCGCTATCCTTATCGCCTTCTATCGATAAAAGTATATCGACGAAGTCCTCTTTACGATTACCTGCCTCTACATGTTCTTCTATCACTTTGTCCATAATCTCGCCAAAAGCTTGACTCACTTCCTTAATTTTCTTATTGAAACCGTTGATACTATCTATCCATGCCAAAGCCGGGATATAGTCCCCAATCGGAAACTCGCCTACAATCTCCATAATCTGCCTCACTCGCTTTTTGAAATCCCTTGCGGTATCACCCTGGCTATGTTTCTTTCCCAAGGCAACTCTGCTCGTAACATCGCTTGTTATAGTAACAAAGCATTCGCTCAGATTTTCTGATGATGAAGAACTACTTGCTTTCTCTAGCTTCTCGATCAATTCAGTTACCTCTTCTTCTCTTACCTTCTCAAAAGAGGCTACCATTTTGTTGGTGAGCAGATTCAGAATGCATACACTCTTCACGCAAAAACAAGATTTAAAATCATCATTAGATTCAAAATAATCAATTAAATCAGTCGAAAGGGGTATATAAAAAAGTAATTTGATTAGATAGTATACCCTAATACTATAACATGTTAGTGCATGTGTACATGGGTGCAACTTGTAGACGGAAGCAAAATATAAAGGTATATAGTATGTAAATAAAAAGAGGTTAAAGAGGAATGAGTAAAGGCTAGTACCTTCATCTGTCTCCAAAATTCTCCATAGGTACCAAACACCACATTACGTCCACCGTCAAAAAGCCCATTAACGGCTTTTGATTTGGGGCGGTTTGCAAACTTAAGATCGTGTGTTTTCATTACCTCGTAAGCTGCTTCACCAGAGGAGACCACAAGTATGGGGACACGACCAAAATGAAGGAGCATGAGTGGTCCATACCGGAGACTGAGGGTTTTGAGGGCACGGTGAGGGTGGAGGGTGAGCTGGTGGAGGTTTCCAATCACAGGAAGCCGCCATGGAGATGGTGGTCGGTTCACTTTGGTAGTGTTTCGTTTGAGGAATTTTCCAAGCAAGACAAGAGTTAAGAGGGTAGTTAAGAACAAAGAGATCATCAATACCATTTCCATTTCTTGAATATAGGTCATGTAGCTAGGAATGTGTTTGATTGGTGATTCTGTAAACTGCTCCTCTCCTTGTTATTTATAGGCTTTATCGCAACTCATCGTTTATTGTCAACTAGTAATTAAGAACTCAATGACACAGTCACCCAAACAAGAAACGAAAATCTAGTTTACGCGTATAAATCTTATTGCATGTTTGTATCTAGTTTTTTTTTAACAACTAGTCGTCGTCTCTACATCTTGTCTTATACAGTATCATATTTTATTTAAAAATTTATTATGAATATTATTATCATATATTATTTATAAAATTTTGTTCTTTAGTGTTCTTTAGACAGTTCTATTATGAACATTAACATCATATTAATTTCAGGAATATTATAAACATCTACTATCCGAATATTAAAAATTTAATTTCTACAATTGGAATTATCATTGTACACCAAGGATAGAGAATAACTTCTGTATTTATATATAAGAACCTTCATTTTTGTTAGAATCCATTTAAGTGCATATTATACTGTAATAAATATTATACTGGATTGTACTTTTATTTGAACAGAAAATAATAATATATACCGAAGTTCATTTCAAAAGTAGCTAGCTAGTTATACAAATTTGCTCAAGTCAATAAAAATAAAGCATAAGAATAATCTATAAATTTTATTGCATGTTTGTCTCTAGTCTGTTTTAACAAGTAATCGTCTTTACATCTTGTAATTGGCGTATATATATTAATAAAAGAACAATTATAGTAACGTTTTTTTGTTTTCTTTAGAAAATTCTATTATGAACATCATTTCTGAAATATTTTGAACAACTAGTTCCGAATAGTAAAGAAATATATAAATATACTATTAGAATTACCATTGTACACGAATAATAGATATAACTTTATGTATTTATATATAAGAACCTTCATTATTATTAGAAACGATTTAATTGCATATGATAATGTAGTATCAATATTATATTGGATTGTACTTTTATTTAAACAGAAAATAATAATATATACCGAGGTTCATTTCATAAGTAGCTATAGCTAGTCTCATAAATTTGCTCACGTCATAAAAATAAAGCATAAGATTAATGTATTTTACAGTATATACTAAAAAAAAAAATATTATTAAAATCACTTTTAAAATTAATTGTTATGTTATTTTATATAGCTGGTGTCAGTCAATTAATGTATAAATATATTTTTACTTTAACATTTATAGAAAAATTGTTAAAATACTCAAAAGTTATGTTTTTTAACTAATGTTTTTTTAAATTTTAAAAGTTACTTGTAATTAAAAATTACCAAAATACCATAAATAAGTCAAATAGTATATATTAGATCGAGTTGTATTGTTTGAAAAAGGTAACATATATAAGATATTTTTCTCTTTTTGTTTTTGTTCATGTCAACATTGATTTTTCTTCTACGACTTTTTCTATCTCAGGGACATATTGTCAAATTATCTTTGTCAGCTTCTCATCATACGTGGCATGACTTCATATAGCTGCTGATGCGAATGCGAGATGCGACGAAGTTACTATGTCCAATCGCTGCAAATACATATTTTATTGTCATTTGACTAGAATTAGTATATTCATTTCGGGTAGAATTGTGGAAGAGAAGGACAATTATAAAAAAACTGATGAAAAATTCTCATGAATAAATAATTCATATTATGGGTAGTAGTTTACAATAATAATATTATAAATTACGTTTATGCTAAACATAACATTGTCCATTATACTTATGTTTTCTGAATAATATATGCCCTAATAAAAGTTTAAAACACAAATAATAAATGTGATCCATAATGTTTTTATGCAAATTCATCATGTATCATATCTCTAGTAACGTATATTTAATTAATTATGAGTTTATAATATTTCAGAAGAGTATGTATATGAATGTTGTTAGAATCTATGAATGGCTTTAATATAGAGTTTTGACTAACTTATATTAGCTGAATATTAAAATGTCGACAACTCAAGTTATTTTTATTATAATGTAGTCAGTCAAACTTTTTTAAGTCAAAGTCGTCGCGTGTTTTTCTTCAACTGTAATCAAGCTCTTGATAATGCTGTTTGTCTACATTTAGCCATCTCACGCGTTTGAGTACTCTTCCTTAAGTTGCATAGAAAATATCTTACATGTATTTGTCCTTTTTTAAATCGCAAATTGGTAAATATCATCTAAACTTTTTAAATCTATAATTTGGAAATGCAGCTAATTACATTGACAAACTCGTGTATGCAATACGAATCTGAGTTTAGGACCAAATATTTTCATTTTCAAAAAAAACATGTAATGATGTAATATATAAAAAAAATCTCTTAACCATACGCGAAATTAGGCTACTAATTAATGATCAAAAGTTTTAGTGATGAGATTTAATAATAAGAATCCATAGCAACAAAAAAAGTCACCAGACATTTTAATTGGCAACAAACTCTTCATTTGCCAATAGGAGGGCCTCAAGCTTAGTATGAAAAGGCGATACACATTGGTACGAACCCTTCAATTCAATATGCACATATCTCTAATTCGATGTTCTTTCTTTTTTCCTTATAGATACGTAATCATTTGAATTCTTGGTTTGAATTTATGGACATCAAGGAGATTTGTATAGTTTTCAAATAACTAGCAAAAAAAACTATGGATATTTTCTTCATGAACAAATCTCATTGGTAGAATCAAATAAATCCAGCCATAAACTTTGATAAGTACTCAATCAACAAATCTCATTGGTAGAATCAAATAAATCCAGCCATAAACTTTGATAAGTACTTAATCAATTGTTCAACAACGGAAACTAACTACGCCTTAATTAATTACAATTATTAGAGTTGGTGAACATGAAAAGTGGGGCAATCTTACCATGTCGTCATTAGGACAATATAATTGTAGTTTTGAGATTAATACTCATGATAACTTGGATGATACAATTTTCAAACCACAGTTTGGAAATGGTTTATTATTTGAGGTTTGCGACAAGAATAAACAACATTTGTAACATCAATGCAAGAAGTGATATCCCAACATCTTTGTACGTACTATTCTTGCAAATGGCATGAGTTAAACAAAAGTCTATAATGGCTCACAAATTTTTCAAACCAAAGACAAGAATTTGTGGGGGACAAAGAAGCAATTATGGAGAAGAAATATCTTCTTCTAAAAACAAAACAAAAAAACAAAAAAAAAGACGATTTAAGTGATATATACTAATATGAGAAAATTGGACGTTTTTGTTTAAAATCTAATAAACAAAAAGACATATTTTTCGAGTCAAACTAAAAATCTAACATGGAGGTCGAAAACTTCTACCAATACGAAGAAATAAAAAAAGTATTTTACTGTCAGTAAATATAATTATTTCCAGGTTCATAAATCGTAACACAAAAAAATTATTAAAGAAAATATTTTGTAATTTAAAATAGAAAATAAAGAGATTGGTTGGTGTATTCTTTCATATTTGTCTATCTATTTATAGAAAATTATTTTACTCTGGTCACGTGTTGACCTCTTTATTTCTTGGAGGTTCGTGCATGTTCAGGATTAAGACTGCATCCTTATCCTCGTCCTTATCTCATTCTCATGTAAGACTGAGTCTCTTTTAGTCACCCAGCAATTTTACCATTCATAAAAGCCCAATCTCCAAAACGTTTATAGTCCAATTGAATCAAAAGCATCGACTTGGTTATGTTGGATCCAATCCATGCCTCACTTTTCCAAAGAGCAACCTCAAGAGATTTATGGATTTAACATTCGCATCCATTATAAAACTTATCATTTTGGGCTTTACAAATAGAGATACCCAAATCAAATGAAAAAAAAAATCGTATTAATTTAAATTCTCTACCTGCAATTCTTAAAAGAGAAGCGGCATATATATATTCTTGTACTTGTGAATATTTTCAAACTGTTACGTCATTTCATTCTCCACGATCTTTAACAACCTTATGACTATGTGTCAACTTTATGTCTAATGTGTGTGTTTTTTAGGTGATAATAATATATAAATTATAAATATTAGGTGTTACGCTTATTAGGAAATTTATGGGGGATTCATAAATAATATGTGTGTGTTTTTAGGTGATAATAATATATAAATATTATGTATTACTCTTATTAGGAAATTTATGGGGGATTCATAAATAATATTTAAAATGACTAACTAATTAAGGATTCACTTTATTAATTATATCTTCTTAGTAGCAAAGCGTATATATGCTTAATTATATTTTATAATGAAGAGTTGTTGTGTTTTACCAAAAAAAAAAATGAAGAGTTGTTTAATTTTAACAACTCTTCTTATTCGTTACATGTATATAAAGAGGTGAAAGAGAAAGCATTTTACACAACTGAAGATGGAAACGCAATGAGAGGGAACTTGCGGCAAACATCGATACCAATGGCTTCAGCTAGATCAGAATCATCCCCATTTGAACCAGCCTCAGCCCTCCAGTCAAATCGGCCTACAAGGTTGGCTACTGTCACCTCTACCAAACCCAAAGCAAGTCCTGTCCCTGGACATTTCCTTCTCCCTGATCCGAAAGGAATATAGTTCAAATTGTTTCCTTGGTAATCCAAAGCTGACTCTAAGTGTCTCTCTGGTTTGAATTCTTCTGCATCTGGTCCCCATACCGCGGTGTCTCTTTGGATTGCCCATGCATTGATTATCACCTGAACGCCAAACATTTTTTTCAGTTTATAACCATGATGTATATGTGAAGTTATGTGTGAAAAAATTGATTGCCCATATTTTCTTTTGCAAGTGATAGAAACTCTATAATTTTTAGCAAATGATAACTATGATAAAAAAAAACCTATAAAGTAATTATGGTGTTTTCATTTTTTCGAAAAAGAGTTTGATTTGATATAAATGAGTGTACCTCTGTCCCTGCGGCTATGTTATATCCTTTTACTTTGACATCTTCACTTAAGAGTCTAGGAATTATCAGTGGAAGGGAAGGATGCAACCTGAGGGCCTCTTTAATCACAGCCTTTAGGTATTTCATATTCGCAACTTCTTTTTCTTTTATGTATGAATTTGGCATCATGGTCGACCGAATCT